TGACAAGAGAGAAACACCAAGTCACATATAAAGGAGGCTCAGTAGAATAACAGTAGATGGTTAACTGGACTGTCAAAAGCTAGAGAGTCCCAGAGATGACAACTGACAACCCAGACTTCTATACCCAGCAAAGCTATCTGTCATCTTTGAAGGCATCCTTGCGGGATGACGGCTCCCAACTGCCGGCAAGTCCAGCTCCAGGAGATCCTGGTCTCCATGGACACCAGCGCATACCCACACACATCACATAATTAAAACTAAAAAAAAAAGTACTGGGTGTGGTGTCACGTGCCTGGATGCCAGCACTCAGGAGGCAGAGGCGTCTCTGTTGAGTTCAAGGCTAGCCTGGTTGACATAGAAAGTTCCAGGCCACACAGGGCTACATAGTTAGACTCTGTCTCAAAAGGAAAGGGGCTGGGGATTATGTCTAAAGACAAAAATGGTTTGAAAATGAGAAGACTGAGAAAAATATCCAATGCAGAGATGAACAGACTATAATGTTCTCGATCTGTTATAATGGGTTTCTATTTGGCTCATGTAAGGATAGTGAAAAGGTAACAAACTATTACAAGCGATAAAGACCATTATATCTGATAAAGCAGCCACTTCAATAAGACGAAATAAATATAAACACAATTGCCTCACATCACAGCATGGAAAAAATAGTAAATATTGACAGAACTGAAGAGACAAATAGTCCTACACTCATAGCTTCAAAATTCAAAACTCATCTTGCAATCAAGAACAGCGCAGACAGATGGAAGAGCATTCAGGAAGCAAGATGAGCACACATATAAAAATGTAGACCTCCCCTCCCCCGCAGAGCCACCTGGAGCCTGCTGGAGCCAGAGAGATGGGAGAACACTGCCTTTCAAATCACACAGCTGCGCCAGCCATCACTCTGTAAAGCATTGTTTTATCTTTTTCTATTACAGAATGTCTCCTCTTACGTGTATGTCTCATGACGGTTTTGCATTTGTATTTTAAGACAGCTGTTTACTATAAGGCATGTTTTATTCTCGTGGCCTCACATATCTCATGCATTTGCCCTCTTTTTCCTACTTCTCTCATCTGTATCCTTTCCTTTCCTTTTTTTTTTTTTTTGTTTTTTTGAGATAGGGCTTCTCTGTGTAGTTTTGGTGCCTGTCCTGGATCTCGCTCTGTAGACCAGGCTGGCCTCGAACTCACAGAGATCCGCCTGCCTCTGCCTCCTGAGTGCTGGGATTAAAGGCGTGCGCCACCACTGCTGGGCCCTTTCCTCTTTTTAGTTAGACCCTTCCATCTCTGTCATCTGTGGGTCCTAACAGCATCCCAACCATCCTCTCCAATACTTTCCTTGCCTCAGTTTTTTCTTTTCAAAGTCAATCTAGTACTTCCCATTATCCTTACCCAGCATTCTCTACCCCCACTCCTAACACTATTAACTGAGATCTGAGCAGACACCATATGACCCTTGGTTGATCCTCCAACAGTTATTGGAGTTCAAGAGGCTGCTGCTGTTCATTGGCTAGTGTGAGTTTGCACAGTGGTGATGTCATGCAGCTGTGGCTACCCTCCCAGTTAATACCCTCCCTCAGAAAATAATACAAACTTTACACCGGGCACCACGCCCCTGGATTGAGTTCTCTGAACCGTGCTCAGCTCTGCCACATGCGAGCCTTACACAAACTTTGCCAATATTTAAACTGAAAGAGTACATCTCATTAGCAGCCACCAAAATAACACCAGCTGTATCATTCCCAATGCAGTAACCCCGGAAGCACTAAAACCAGGACAACCACCCCCAAATCACTACCTCGACGGTAATGGAATCTAATGAGAGCTAAGTGAAATCCCAAAGAACTCAAATAACGATTTCAAGTATGTTCAAAAAAACTAAGAAGAAAATAAACCCCTGATGGAACGGAAACAGCTGGGAGAAATAAGAAAAACAATGCAAGGTAAGAAAACCAAGTTCAGGGGCCAGTGAGATGGCTCAGTGGGTAGCTGTGCTCGGGGCCAAGTCTGACTTCCTGAGTGGGATCCCCGGAGCCCACATGACGGAAGGGACAATAGACTCCTGAGCCTCTGACTTCTTCCACAGGTGCACAGTGGCATGTGCATGCCCCTCCCCTAAATCAATAAACATTAAAGGAAATTCCTTAAAGACAGAGGAATTCAACAAAGAGCTGTTGAAGAAAAACCAACCTGAAATGCTGGAGATGGAAGAAAACATAGGACGAGATAAAACACAGAAAACAGTGGAATGTGTCAGCTGTGGTGGATCAAGACAGGATAGTGTATCTGAGCTTGAAGGCAAGACAGAAGGACATCAAACTAGGACAAGGACAAAATAAGGTGTCAGTAGGGATTCCAACAGAGGAAAGACCAAACCTGGATAATAGGCATAGAAGAAGAATCTCATCTAAAAGCATAGTAAACATTTCAAAAGAACCATAAGAGATAATATCCCAGAGTTAAGAGCAGAGGTACCAAGATATAGGAGGTATTTCAGACATCAAATACCCCAAGACCAGGAAAGAACTTCCTCTTGTCTTGTCATTTTATAATTAAAATACTAACTAAATACACTGAACAACAACAATAAAAAGCATATTGAAGTGACAAGAGAGAAACACCAAGTCACATATAAAGGAGGCTCAGTAGAATAACAGTAGATGGTTAACTGGACTGTCAAAAGCTAGAGAGTCCCAGAGGTGACAACTGACAACCCAGACTTCTATACCCAGCAAAGCTATCTGTCATCTTTGAAGGGAAAATAAAACTTTCCCTAACAAGCTGGGCATGGCGGTGGTGGCACACGCCTTTAATCTCAGCACTCCAGAGGCAGAGACAGGTGCATCTCTGTGAGTGTGAGGCCAGCCTGGTCTACAGAGTGAGTTCCATGACAGCCTGGTCTACACAGAGAAACCCAGATGAGAGAGAGAGAGAGAGAGAGAGAGAGAGAGAGAGAGAGAGAGAGAGAGAGAATTCTAAACGTATATGCCCCAAACACAAATGTACCAAATTTCATAAATACTATTAAATATAAAGTCACAGACTAAACCTGAATGGTGACAGTGGGTGACTTCAATACTCCATCCTCAACAAGAGACAGGCCATCCAAAAAAAAAAAAAATCAACAAAGAAACATTCAAATTAAATTACATCATGGACCAAATGGACTTTATAGTCACCTACAGAACTTTCCACCCAAGTACTAAAGGATTTATATTCTTCTCAGCAGTCCATGGATCCGTCTCCAAAATAGGTCACATATTAGGATAAAAGCAAATCTCCACAAACATAGGGAAATTGGGATGACATTGATTTCTCTCTGACACAGTGGAAGAGAGGTAGATAAAGCGAGATGAACGGCAGCAGGCACAGGCCCATGGGGACGAACAGCACACACACCACAGACTGGTGAATGGAATGGCACACCACAGACTGGTGAATGGAACGGCACACCGCTGACTGGTGAATGGAACAGTGCACCACTGACTGGTGAATGGGTCACTGCAGAAATGAAGGAGATTTCAAAACTCCCCAGAATGGGATAAAAATGAAAATGCATGCCACGTTCAATGGGACACAAAAGAAGGAAGTCCTAAGAGAAATATTTATATTGATAAATGCCTATGTAAAAAAAAAAAAAGACAATCAGAAAGATCTCAAATTGATATCTTAATGATGGACCTTAAAGCCCTGGAAAAACAAATTAAACCCACACCAGTAGAATGAGAGAAATAATCAAGATGTGGGCCAAAGTTAAGGAAATAGAAACAAAAATAAAAACATAGAAAATAACAACCCTTAGACAACTTAGAAGGGAAAATGAGAAAACCCAGATTAACAAAACTTAAGATGGAAAGGGAGACATCACAACAGATACCAATGACATTCAGAAGACCATAAGGACATACCATAAAAGCTTATCGTCCACTAAGCTGGAAAATTCTGAAATAAATAGGTTAATTTCTAGACACGTATGACTTACCAAAAATTAAACCAATATGAAATAAAATTAAACTACATACATAACCAGGGATGAGATTGAAGCAGTAATAATTTTTCTCCCCAATTAAAACCAGGTCAGAAGTAACATCTAAAGGCAGACCCATCAGAATAACACCAGACTTCTCAATAGAGACTATGAAAGCCAGAAAGTCCTGGACAGATGTCATGCAGGCACTAATAGATGCCAACCATGACTATTATACCCAGCAAAACTCCAAATCACCATAGATAGAGTAAACAAAATAAAACCAGGTTAGTTAGCTTTACTGAAGAATTATAATAGACTTTCAAAAAGAACACCAATGCTACTCAAGTCATTCTGTAAAACAGAAAAGGAGGAAAAGCTTCAAAATGACTTTTTAAACCCAGTGTTACCTTGATACCAAAGCCAGATAAAGATACAACAAAATAAGAAAATTACAGATTGATCTCCCTGATGAACATAGATGCAAAAATTCTAAATAAAATAATGGCACATCAAATTCAAGACCACATCAAAAGTATCATTCATCATGATCAAGTTGGCTTCATTCCATAAAAGTGCAGGGATGTTTCAACACATAGAAGTTATAATCATAACTTGTCACATAAATGGACTCAAAGACAAAAATCACTTGATCGTTTCAATAAATAAAGAAAGGACCTTTGACAAAATCCAGTATCATTTCACAATAAAAGTCATGGAGGCGCTAGGGATGGAGGGATCATATCTCAATATAATGAAGAATATATATGAAAAGCCTATAGCTAACATCATGCTAACTGAAGAAAAACTACAAGCATCCCCACTAGACTACGAACAAGACAAGAGTGTCCATTCTCTCCACTTCTGTTCAGCATAGTGCCTGAAGTCTTAGCCAGACTAGTAAGACAAGAGAAGTAATAAGAAAGATACGCAGTCAAAGTATCCCTATTTGCAGAAGATAGATGCCCATACCTAAGAGACTCTAAAGACTTGACCAGAAAATTCTTAAAGCTGAGCAACATTTTCAGCAAAGTGGCAGAATATAAAATGCAAAAATCAATAGCTTTCATATATACAAGTAACAATGGAAAAAGAAACCAGGGGAACAATCTCTTTCATGATAAATGTGCATGTACACACACACACACACACACACACACACACCTAATCAAGGAAATGAAAGACTTCAACAATGAAAAGTTTAAGAAAGTATAGAAGACCTTCCATCCTCATGATCAGAAAATTTAACATTGTAAAAACTGCCATCCTACCAAAAGCATTCTACAAATGTGGTGCAATCCCAATAAAAATTTCAGGGTCATTGTGCTGTGAGATGGTCTGTATGTCAAATTGCTCTGATTGGTCAATAAATAAAACACTGATTGGCCAGTGGCCAGGCAGGAAGTAGGTGAGACAAGGAGAGAGGAGAATTCTGGGAAGCAGAAGGCTGAGGCAGAGAGACACTGCCAGCCGCTGCCATGACCAGCAGCATGTGAAGACAACAGTAAGCCACCAGCCATGTGGCAAGGTATAGATTTATGGATATGGATTAATTTAAGCTATAAGAACAGTTAGCAAGAAGCCTGCCACGGCCATACAGTTTGTATGCAATATAAGTCTCTGTGTTTACTTGGTTGGGTCTGAGCGGCTGTGGGACTGGCAGGTGACAGATTTGTTCTAACTGTGGGCAAGGCAGGAAAACTCTAGCTACATCGTTGTTTACGACATGAAAGAAAAAAAAAACCCTTAAAATCATGTGGAATCACAGAAGGCCCTGGATAACCTATGCCATCCTGATGAAAATGAACACCACGAAGGTATCATTGTATTCCAAGTCATGCCACAGATCTAACACAATCAGAACAGCACAGTACCAGCACAGATGCCCAGATCAATGGAGGACATGGATATAACTCTACATGACCGCAGGCAGTCACCTGAGTTTTGATAAATATGTAAAAGCTACACCGGAGGAAAGACCGCCTTTTCCACAAACGATGCTGGGAAAACTGGACGTCAAGAATAAAAAAAGCGTTGGAGATGGTCCTGGTGCTAGTCACATAACAATACATTAATATCCTTAACATGATATGCTTTAACCTCAAAAGCATTTAAAATAATAAGTATGTCCCCCCCCCCCAAATTTAGGTTAAAAAAAGGGGGGGGAATATTATCGACAGTGCCACTAATAATTGCATAAACAAAAAACAAAACAAAAAAAAAAGGAAAGAAAAAAGAAATCCTTCTTGAAACTAAAAATTATAAGTATTCCTTGTGTCTGTTCAGAGAAGCTGTAATTTCAGTTATATCGGAACTGAAGCAGTGGCGAGTCTAATTTGGTGGCATAAATGAATTTTCAGTGAAGTTCTCATGACCAGCATAGCATATATTATTAAAATATTATGTATTGTATACATGTTCCTCGTGTGTCACTATTATTATGGCAATTACAAACAGCAGACATTTTTTTTAAGGGGAAAAAAAATGTCAGGGCTTAGCAGCTAATAGCCCACACTGCTTTTGCAGAGTCCCGAATTCAATTCCTGACACCTGTGTCAGGTGACTCACAGCCTCCAGGTCCAGGACATCCTCCAGCCTCCACAGCTTCAGTACTCACATGCACACACACAAATACATGTAACTAAAAATAATAAAATTATAAAAAAATTTCCAAAGCCTTTGTATTTATCGTGTTCTTAATATAACTTTTTCTTTTTTGGGTTGCTGGAGATTGAACTCAGGGCACTGTACACACATGTGTACATGTGACCCACCACTGAGCTATGCCCCCAGTTTTCCTTCCTTTTGGAAAAGAAGAGTTCCACGGTTTTGTTTTGATATGATCTCATCAGTTATATCACTGGCCCTCGTCCAGCCTTGACTGGACACGTGCCCAACGTGGTGAAGTCATTTAACCTCTGCGTGATCTGTTATGCCTCAAATAGAAATGATAAGAACCTTGCCTAGAACAGGTATGAATGTGTGGAGGGAGGGAGGGGAAGGAAGAGAGAGAGAGACAGAGATGGAGACACGGAGAAACAGGAAGAAAGTCAGAGACAGGAAAGGGATAAAGACAGACAAGAGACTGTTCGGTTCAGAATGTGTAAGTGCTTTAAATATTGGGTGGCGTTATTACTATTTTCTTTTAAAATTCACACAGTAATAATGCACACTGGAAATGCATTTTAACCACTACCCTTCCTGGACATTAAGTCTTTAGATGAACACACTCTTTTATCTAAAATGGGGATACCCTTCCTGGACATTAAGTCTTTAGATGAACACACTCTTTTATCTAAAATGGGGATGTTGTATGTTTAACACTTTCTACAGAGCTTTCATGATGTCTGAGAAAGCACCTGAAGGATTACTTGGTACACAAGGGCGTCGTTTTCCAGACTAGTGATTTCATAGATATTTCTTCACGTGGCCAAGAGCAAAGCACTCTGAGAGTGATGCCCAAACACTGGACTTCAGTGAGCAGTCTCCAAGCGTGGAATCTCAAACAGGCTTTCTGATAATAGCCTGGACTTTTATCTGCCTCAAAGGAAAAACACCACCACCAGAGAGCTGAGTGTACCCAGAACAGACCTGGGGCCACCTTGCAGGCCTGGGGATCTTAGGATCCAGGGCTGAGTAGCCTGCAGATTCCCTGGGAGGCTATCAGGACCTTTACCAGATGGAAGGATTTGAATTAGAGACCAGGAGGGACTCGGGCAGAAACTGGGCTCAAAACCTGAACTCTCATTGACACACACTTAAGAGTTTGGGTTCTGGCATCCTGTCTATTAGTGAAGGTGACCCCCAAGTCAGGCTGCCTGAGCCTTGCACACACCCTCCTGAGCCTCCCCAGGACAGGTGTGGAGGAGGAAGTGGCTTAGGGGTGTGGCTGGGATCTTGGGACAAGCTCTGTAGTCAAGAAACCTGGGGATCACAAGTATGCAGGAGGATCCCGGGGCTCCTCCTCGCCCCATTCCCAGAGTGAAATCATGCCCTCCAGCTCTTCGGGGTCCACCGGGAAGTCCCCTCATGGGCCATCCTCATCCAGGCCCTCCCACGGTCTTACCTTTGCCCTCTCTAATCGCTGGGATCTGCTCCCGGCCTCCATGGCTGTGTTTAAAGTCCACCTCTGGGGAACACAGGCTGACTGTTCCGATAAGCCCAGGCACGGGGCTGTGTGTGTCCCCAGGCTTCCTGGGACCCTGGCTGGGGTGGGGGGCGAGAGCAGCGTCCGACTGGCGTGCAGGATGAAGCTGCCCTGCGGCTTCTTCCTCCTGTGGCTTGGCCTGGCGGGCAGCCTGGCTCAGAGCGACCCCAGCCCCAAGGGAGAGGAGTCTTACTCGGACTGGGGCCTGCGGCACCTGCGGGGCAGTTTCGAGTCGGTCAACAGCTACGTGGATTCCTTCATGGAGCTGCTGGGAGGCAAGAACGGAGTCTGTCAGTACCGGTGCCGATATGGTGAGTACCCCCGGTGCCTACTCTGGAGGGGGGAAGGGGGAGGGGGGGTTGGGTCACCGGCAGCTCAGCAGGTCACATCTGTCCTACACCGGCTAGGCCAGGTTGCCAGACTGAGCGAATCAGGTGTAGTGACATCGGCAATCCAGGCAGACAACAAATTCTTGCGAGGAGCCTGGGGTGACATTTGGGATCTCGATCTCCCGATCGATCGATTATGATTGATCTGAAACTCAAGCCCCACTCAGCCTCCCGGGAGTCTTCGCAGAAGCCCTTTATGAGTTTGCTGGGAGGCTGGGGCTTAAGAGATGGTAGTTAGCAGTGTGGGACAGGAGGGCGCGGCGAGAGGGACCTCGAGGTCTCTGGGATGCTCTTAGGGAAGGGAACTGAACCTGGTGTTCAATTTTGGAGATTTTGCCTGCGGGCAAACAACTTCTCCGAATCCTGGAATCCTAGAATCCTAGAGAGCCCGAAAGGACTCTCTCCGCCGCAGACCTCGGACTGGCAGCGATTTGCCTAGACGCTCCCGAGGGAGGGGTCCCAGCCCTGGCCCACTCAGTAGCCTCGGGCATCACTGCTGCCCACCAGGGATCCCAGAGCTAGACACCAGAGGCAGAGTTGGGAACTGGGTTGGGCACCCATGCCTACCTTGGGCGACTTGCAAAGCCTGCCTGTGAGCTAGGCAGGAGGCTGGCGAGTGTCGCCCTCGCTCTCCCAAAGAGGCCGGAGCCGAGCCCCTGCCTGGGTCTGGCAGCTTCCACAGCGGGTGAAAAGCCTTGTTGGTAATGTGGTGCTGGCAATTTTAACTCGGGGCTATTTGCCAAGTGTGTGGTCCACCACTGAGCTGCACCTGGGCCTTGAAATGCTCTTCCCGAGCGCGCAGCACACGCCTCTGAATTTAGTTTATGCAAATGCCCCGCAGGAGGCTCGCAGGTGGAAATGCCAAGTCTATTTAGCCTAGCCCGGAAACATGCTTGGGAAACATTTTCTCAGCAGACAGCACTAGCTTTCCAGAGACACTCACAATCAGTGTCCAGAGACATGTTGCATGGCCTACCCCTCTGGCCCTCATCTTTGGGGAGAGAAAAATGGCGTCCTTGCGTACTAAGAGCGGCCAACCAGGAGATAATGGTTAAACCATTGTTCTCAGTAGGCTTAATGTCACTGAGGCACCTGCAAAAAACGGTGCTTCAGCGCACCAGGAGAACGTCATGGAGTCAAATCCTGGGCCCCTCAGCCTCATGTTTACCCAAAGTTGGGTGCATACATGCAGAGGCCCCCTCCCTGCAGTAAGCCGCCTAGTTTCCCCTGAAGAGGCAGCAAAGGGTTAATACCTGCCATTTGAATCAACACAGACGGTTGTCAATAATACCCAAGGTTTAGCAAACACCCAACAGCAGGACTTCTTGTCAAATTGTGAACCCAACCCTGTTCTTCCTTCCCTAGCAAAATGGCATCCAAAGACTTCAGCCGATTTTGGTTGGACAGCCTCGGACTGGGAAGGGCCAGCCGACTCCCCATCCAATCTCGGCTACTCCGGAGGCTGAGACAGGACAAGCTTGAGTTCCAGGCCAGCCTGGCTACATAGTGAGACCCCTGAGGTCCCCTCTCAACTCACCTCCCCTAGAAAGGATGCTTAAACATCAATCTTTAAAAATACTTTTAGGTCAACAAAAATAATAGTGGATATCTATGGAGAAAACCTGATGCTTTGATCCGCTGCGGAAAGGTTTAACAGCTGATTATCATATCCACTGGCTCTTACCAACTTTCCTTTTATTTGTCGTGAGACTGTTAAAAGTCTACTCTTTCGATGATGCTCAGAGTGTGTTGCTTTGACTACAGCTGTGTCGAGACGCTTGCTGGAAATAATCAAGGGAGGAAGGGCTTATGTTTCTCCTCAGGACTCCAGAGATCTCTGCTTATCAAGGGGGAAAGCAAGGCTGAGGAGGAACTATGGGTGGAGGGAGCTTGAAGTGGAGGCTGATTCACCAGGCAATATTGGGAATCAGAGATAGCCAGGCTGGGTGTATCAAAGGCCTGATCCTGGACAGCAACTTCTGACACACAGACCCTCTCTCATCTTCCCCAGAGAGTATTATCAGCCAGAAAACTGACACTCAAAACCTGAACCCGTGGGGAGCAGTGTGTGTGTGTGTGTGTGTGTGTGTGTGTATACACATACTCATATATATGCATGGAGGACAGAGGAGGACATCCATGTCTTGAATGATCATGCTTCACCTTGTTCCTGGAGACAGTTCTCTCACTGAATGTGGAGCTAGACTGGCAGTCAGGAAGTCACAGACGTCCTGTCTCTGTGTTCTTACAGCCTTGGGGTTACAGGTGCATGAGCAGCCGTGCCCAGCTTTTTGCATAGATGCTACAGATTTGCCCTCCGGTCCTGATGCTGCACACCAAGCATCAGGTGTACATCCTTACCCACTGAGGCATCTCCTCAGTTCCCATGGAACATTTTAGGTTCAAAGCATAATAGAAATATGCGACACATTGTCATTAGCGGTGATCATCTGTACAGTAGATTCCCAAAACTTACCCCTTCTATGAGCCCCTAGACCAAGATCTCCTTTTTCTCATTCCCCCCCTCCTCTTGGGCTTTCTATACCGTTTCCAAGAAATTGACTTTTCTTTCTTATTTCCTTTCTTACTTGAGACCATAGAGTATGCGCTTTTCTGATTTATTCCACCCAGTGCAATGATTTCCAGCTCCAGAATGATAGGGTTTCCTCTTGCAGGTGGAGTAGCACTCCACTGTGTACACACGTTTTCTTTATCTATCCCATAAAAGACTTCAACATGCTCTCTTCAATTCTGTTGGATATATACCAGAAGTGGGGATGCTGGCCTGTGTAGCAGTTCTGTTCTTAGTTTTTAGTTTTCTTTAAATTTTTTAAAAAAAAATTTTAATTTTTAAATGTGTGTTGTTATATTTGCCCGCATGTATGTCTATGTGAGGGTGTCAGATCCCCTGGAATTAGAGTTATAGACAGTTGTGAGCTGCCATGTGGGAGCTGGGAACTGAACCCAGGTCCTCTGGGAAAGTAGTCAGTGCTCTTAACCACTGAGCCATCTCTCCAGCCCCCTAGTTTTGAGTTTTCTGAGGAGCCTCCATAGTGCTTTCCAAATGGCTATACTCAATGACATTCCCACCGTTGGGGAACGAGTTCCCTTTCGCTACGCCCTCGCCACTTCCGTCTGTCACTAAGAGCCGTTCTAGCAAGTGTAAGGTGATGTCTCCTGTGGTCTCCATTTCTGTTTCCCGGTTTAATGGGAGATGCATCTTTTCATGTC